ACTTTTATTGTAGGGATAGAAACATCTAATTGGTCTAATTTAAACTGATTTGAAATTTTCGATTATTGCTGCTATCTCTTGATGTAGTTTAATTTTCTCTCTAGACTTGTATATCTAAAAAAAGGTTCCAGGGGTCTGGACTTTTTTCTCTCTGTTCTATTTATTGTCTACTAGCTTTTTTTCGCTTTTATTAGTTGTGTTGTTTATTTTATTTCCAAGTATTGAATTCAATCAAACTCTGAACATTGAAGTCACTGAAGCACGGGTTTTAAATGTTCTATTTATTATTGAATTGAATTTTTGATTTTCCCGTCGATTGATTGGATCGAAGTGCTCGGTCTCAGGTTGACATGTCGGCTTCTTGTGCAGGTGCTTCGACGATGTCTGGTCATTTAATTAGTATACAATTGGTGGATGGTGGCTAGCAGTGGAATCCAGGATAAAGCGCATTTCGTCCTATTTGGGACTCGTCAGCTGGATGTACCTGCATTTCTCAGTGAGTGATCATGTTCCCACAGAGGCTCGAACCCAGTGCCCATAGTTTCAAACGCCAAAGCGTCACCCACTAGACAACTTGGGCCACCGATTTTATACTAATCAAATGCCCAGACATCGTCAAAGCATCTGCACAAGAAGCCGACATGTCAACCTGAGACCGAGCGCCTCGGTTTAATCAATCGACGGGAAAATCAAAAATTCAATTCAATAATTAATATGACCCGTTGCACAAGAGATGGCTCTCGTGGCCTAAGTGGTCTAGTGGATAACGCTTTGGCGTTTGAAACTATGGGTACTGGCTTCCAGCCTCAGTGAGAACATCATCACTGACTGAGAAATGCAGGTACATCCAGCTGAAGGACGAGTCCCAAATAGGACGAAATGCGCTTTATCCTGGATTCCACTGCTAGCCACCATCCACCAATTGTGCACTATTTATTACCCTAGTATATTGTCTCTACATGTACACTGCATGGGAAAGAAAACTTTTTATAATCAGTTTTTCTTGAATAGGTGATAAGTAGGAATCCAGAGTAATAAAAGAAACTCAACAGTACATTACTGACATGGAATTATATAGAAATCAAGTGAGGAGGATGTGCCTTGGTTTTCTTTTTATCTAATTTGTTATTATTATTATTGCTATTATTTTTTATATATATGTATATTTCCCGCTGTGATTGGTTTCTATTTTTTTTAGTTGACACGTGCTTTGAATTTTTTGAATAAAATCTGATCTGAGTTGCATATGTATCTAAGTTCTAATGCGATGTATGATCATGATAATCTGTGAAACCTGTTAAAAAAAAAGGAATTCCCTCTGTGTATGTGTGTCTGTGTGTAGTGAAATTAAATGATCTGATACAGTTTTCAGGACTGACATTACCAATCTTACAATAACTCAGGTTTTTTCTGTCATTTCCAATTGTCTCCCTCTTAAATCGAATGGAATTCGCAGTTTACACAGTTTGAGGTGAGATTTCACCATAGTTGCCTTTGAAAACGTAAGGCATTCAACTCTGAAACTGCAAGAACTGGGAGTCTGATTTATGCTATTGTCAGCTCACCTAAGTAGCTAGCTAGTCAAAGCTCAGTTACAAACGACTGAAACGACCGTTTTTGGTGCTTAGATCATTTCGATCTGGCTAGCGAGCACTGCTGGTTGATATGAGCAGTATACAGTTACTTATCTCACTCAGTCTCTCTTTTTTACATAACCACTGGTTTTTAAGTTTAAGTTATACAAAACGATCCCTACAAAAAGTGGATCTCTTAATTTTTGTATCTGGTATCTAATCCGGTACAGTATAGATTAAGAAGGAGTGCGTGAATAAAAGATATAGTCAAGCACATAATCTAAAAGAATACTTATGTGTCACTTATTCATATGACACCCCAAAAAACACCATAGACAAATGAAACGAGATCTTGTCAACAGCATCCGTGTCTTGTTGATCAGGCGACAAAACATTAGGGCGTTAGAGCGCTGTGTGTGATGGTAATAATCTTATTCAGGTTTAGCTGTTTCCATCACTTGATTACACCACTTTTTAAGACAAACTTTATGAACATCAGCAGTAAATTTTTATTTTGACTGATGGTGACTAAAAGTAGAATCTGCGATGCACATCTCAATTTATTTGAAACTCATCGGCTGGGTGTACCTGCATTACAAGTTTGTGACAGGGTTCCATTAAGACTCGAACACTCGCTCGGTTACGAAGATCACAAGAGGAAGTAGTGAGCATCCTAGATTCCTGTGGTAGTCACCATCCACGGAAGAGTATCATATAATAATCCTTAGACATCATAGAAGCATTCGTACTAGGAGCCAGTATGTCAGTAGAGACCAAGCATTTCGGTACAACACAATCAGTAAACAGCAGATGTAAATTAACAATAAAAACAAAAAATACCAGCAATAATTGTTTACTAATATATAATTTGAAGATGGCAGGCAGTATACATTTTATGAAGCACTGTTGAAATTTAAAATGACTACAGACCTGTTTTATTTGAGTTTGGACTATATTTTTGAAAATATATATTTATATTACAGTAGGAACTTGGATATTAGTGTCTCAAACTTTTTCCACCAAACCGACCTTAGCAAAATATAATTTTAAAATTCACTTGTAATATGCTTTTTAAAATAGTTGAATGTAGAGTTAACGGTAAAAGTCCTACTTATGATTGAGAGTGACTGAATAGTTGAAATTGTAATAGAGATAAACCGTATTCTATATAGAATGTTAAGACACCTTTATACCCTGGTGGGGACGTGTACTACTGAAGAGTCCCAGGCTGGAACAAAACAGCCATCCCGTACTCCCTGTTGATTTTTAAGTGGCTCTCTAATTGATGTCAACCCGTGGGCCAACTTTAAATCAAGCAATTTCCTATAAACTAGCACTAGAAGACAGTTAATTTATCTGTTAACCTTGGTAAGATTATGTCTACTAAAGCAAACGTGGCAGTGGATTAAGTGAAAAGGGATGTATAAATAAATAACTGGGACACTCATTGCCTATTTCCAAGTATTCTACCCCTGAAAACCTAGCATACTTTTAAAATGGTTAAAAAATTCTTGAATACAAAATGCCTGGTCAAGAATACAATCCAAATAAGAAGTGAGCTTCACTATTGTGCTTAAAGGCGGATTATGGTGATTTTATTGCAAACCAGCATATACGAGAATTCTAACTTATCACTCCCCCATTAATAACTAGCGAGGAATACATTCATTCTAGTCCTAAGTCTCAATCAAACTCCTACAGCAATCATTAAATTACAGGATCAAGAATTGATAAAGTTTAGAATTAATGGGTAGTTGAATTCCGATATAATGGTTGGAAGGCCAACGGGCTTCGTCTCGTAACTTGAAGATCCTCGGTCCAATCACTAACGGGGTTATGAGGGTTCACTGATGAAGGCCTTCAATAGAGATGGACAACATAGATGTTCAGTACTACCTTCTGGTTTACAGTGATATCTAACTGATTTCGGTCCATGGTGAAATCTACACTAAAGTTAAATTACTGTCTCTATGTTTCAACATAAAACTCCATGAATTGGTGTCACTCCTCATGAATGTTTATTTTAACTTTAAATAATAACTTTGCATGTGTACCACATGTATCACCACTTCGAGTTAACTTTATTGACTTTCCCTCAGTTTTGTTTGCTTAAAACTTCAAATTTAAGTCAGTATTCCTCTAGGTGCTGAAAATGAAGACACGATCACTTCAGAGCACCTCAAAATGAAGCAATAAGATACGAATAATGGTTAACAATAACTTTATCTACAGTAGTAAGAATCACAATACACAATGAAAATTATCAAGTTTATAACATGTTTAACCAATAACATAAACTGGCTTTTTCATAGCACAAGTGGATACTTTTGTCAGCTTGACAGACTTAGGCACAGTTAAAAGTTTCCCATAGTACTAAATCACCTCCTTAACTGTCCTCATTTGTTTTCATCCTCCATTTATTTTTTCAGAGCGTTGCTTCTGAAAAGAAAGAATGACAATCAGTTACCAAAGTAGTCAAGTATTCTTCCAGTCTATGCCGTCCTTTTTAAGTTCTTCTCATGCATAACTCTGATGCCTGGCTTTATCCTCTGGCGATTTTGCTACCTTCTCTGCAACTCTCAGGGAATCATCATCCCATTGTGGCATGAGTAACTTATGGTAACTTTGGTAGGAATAACTCATGTCTTGTCCACATCAAGTTGGGTGTCGGTGGCACGGTGGTTAGGACTCTCGCCGACCATGCACATGGGCCGGGGTTCGATCCTCTGCTGACGCATACCTGATATCTATGGTCGGCCTGCAAAATTTGGCCTACCGATATCACATGCTGTAGATTCCATACCTGTACCAAAAATACGGTGTAGAGTCAAGCTGTAATAAAAAATAAAAAAAGTAAAAAAAAACAAATATTCCAGGCTGATTCCTATTCACTTTCGAGAAATATTTGTGGTGGTGTCTTCAACTAATCTATCACCAACAGGAGGATATGCCGTAGCTTAACATTTACAGATCCTAAACAGACGGCGTACCTCTGTCTAACCGAAATGGTTTCAAAATCTACTCCCTAGCCACTGTGTCAAAATCTATGTTTGTAAGGGAATTTATGGACAGCTAAAAGAGTATTCCGTATCTTTGGTGAATTTTTCTTGAAATGCCAAATTCCCCTTTGTGCTTCCAATTTCCAGTCATCTTTAACAGTTAACCTTCTAAAGAAAAATACAGAATCTCATGCGTAATATAATTAAATTATCAACCAAATGGTAAATAGATTAACAGCAAAGTAGTTTTAATTGTTGGTGTACTTATATATATCCTTTAGCGTCTTCCTTACCACTGAATTCTTAAATGAAAACATCAAAAATTGTTCATGAATTTTAAAATCTCCTAATAATACTGTGCTAAAAATTGTAATGTTTTTTGTCTAATTAAGTGTCTACTTTTGTTTTCTTTGCTTATATGTTGCAGTTGATGCTGGGTAAGTCAACTCCTATTCAATGTTCAATACTTCCATGTATTTTATATTAAATGCAATGAATGGTAGAATTTAGAAAAGTTTTAGGATTATCATATGCCTTTTCAAATTAAAGCAGGTGTTCAAAAATTGACCGAGTGTGTAAGTTATAGCAAACCAAACTTACTGCGCTTTTGTTTCAAGTATACTTGAATATATAGAAAAGATGGAGGCGGTAAAATGCGATTTGAATTTCCTCAAGCAGAGTTGGTCTTCTGTGATTTTGTATTATGTGTTTAGAGGTATGCTGTAACCATACTAGAAGTTACGCCTAGCTGTTTTAAGGGTGTTTTATCAAATTTGTCTTACACAACTATAATATGAGCTGTGGATTGTGCTATACTGTGTGAATGAAAATACCTCACGATAGCATTTATCCTCACCCGATTTGGATCTCAGCGCTGACTAAAATACACCGTTCGGTAGTCACTGGAACAAACAACGATGAAGTTGGGCCCTTAAACTCTACCTAGCTGTGTCTCTGACACCACCAATAATGAGTTTTTTGAAAAGCGCTTTTTCCTTCAAGACACTTCGCAACTTGTTGGTAGTACAATTTCTTAGGAGAGAATTCAGTCACATTCTTAATAAATCGAGGCAATCTTCTGATCACACTGTCCTAATACATAAAACACAAGCGTCTTTAATCTGGACCAGCTTGATGGTCGTTATTTCTGCGACATGATGTTATCTTTGTTTTAATAATAAATAAAATTCTTGAAAATTGTGTAGACGTCGACACACATCATAGTTGACTTTCAGACGATAAATAGAATCTGGAAAGAATACGCATTTTCAGCATCATCTCTGCCCGTATGTTTTTATGAAATTTTTATTGCTTTACTAAGTAATATCAGCTTTTATAAAATTATATTTGTAAAATCTCAGCGAAATTGAAATGATTAATTCCAACGTTTCTAGTGTCCGTCAATCTCGTCCGAACTTCTTCAGGGAAATTAATCGAAATTAACATAACAGAGGTTTATATATAAAAGGAATATCTCTTGTTTTTAAAAAACTTTGTCCAATCATGAGCCATGGATTAATTTCCCGGAAGAAGTCCGGACCAGATTGCCGAACTCAGGAAACGTTGGAATTAATCATTTCAGTTTCGCTGAGATTTTACAAATACAATTTTATAAATGTCTCTCATTTCTCACTCGGCGCTCAATTATTTTACAGCTATCCGGTCAAATCTTGATCACAGTTCATATGAATATCAGCTTTTTTTTCTCGATCTTCTTCTATTCCTAGTGGAACACAGGGTTTCAAGCTTTAACAGTGAATTATCAGTAGCGGTAGTGTTTCTGACGGTATGTAGTTGCTAGCCTCTCTCTCCTTCTGGGGCCTACTATCGGCCATTGGAGGTTTTGGAGTTCATCAGCTGCGAATGGCCAGTGGGTGTTCTATCTTATAAATGATTCTCTTTTTTCTGTCCTTGTAATGTCTGGTCTGTAGAGTGAACTGACTCTGTTCGCCTGCTAGCAGCGTTCGGTCCGACAGTTTAAAACAGTCTTACAGTGATTTCACAAATATCTTGGGTATATCGCAGATTCGTTGTGCTTGTAGTTTCGCAGAATGATTCCGTTTTATCTATTTAGAATGACGTGAAGTTTCTGCACAACGACCATAAGATGATTCTCTCCTACCTACCCTTCAAGACACATGTACTGCAGTATGTCCGAATAATGCTTGTACACATGTTCTTTTGTATACTGCTAGACTGTTGCTATTGTAACTGTGCGTTGGATTGATATAAGTTGACTTTCTAATTACTTCTGTTCCAATTTTTTCTAAATTTGTTCGCTTAATTGAGGCGTTGAAAAAATAGGAGTCAGTTCTCTGATGTTACCTCTTTTGTAAACTTAACTTCCTCGTTGTCAAACAATGGTGAATATGCTGTTTACCTGACATATCCGGATTTGGGATCTGACTATTAGTGGTGGATCACGAACTATTGACACAGTGGGAATACGTAACAAGAGACTGGACCAAATGATGTGAAATTACCGAATGACATACTACAGTTATTATTATTATTATCATTAAAGCAAACTTGGTACATAGTGAACACATACAAGGTCTTATAGATTGTGTGAGTGCTGACTAACTGCCCAGACTCCTAAACCTAAACAGGCCACCCCACACTCCGAGCCTGTGACTTGAACTCTGATCCATATGACAGTAGAGGACTGTCAGGAGCTGCGTTCCAGTGGTTTCAGGTGACCAAAGCAAGTCTACACGCCGTTTGACTCTTTCGTATTCTGCAGCTCATTTACGCCACAGGTCTGGAAATCAGGTTTTTCTAGCTCACTTATGTAGCTAGAACTGTGTGTCCACCAGTCAGGTTGTAAGCACCTGAAGTCCAAATTAGCTCTTTCACTTTCGGGAGGAACATCCTTGTCAAGCGGAGGTAGTGAATAAGATTTCCTTGGTAGAGGATATGAATACATGACCACATAAGAGCATTTCGACAGGAAGACAGGATTGTACCCACCCTCAACGCTAACCAGCAGTTTACGGAGGCTAGGCTAAGGAAAGTTCAAAGTTAGCTTTGGACTGAGGACAGGTTCGGGACACGGTAACCTAATTACGAATACAGTAAGGTTGTTTAAAGGGTTAGAGTTGAGTTAAGGGACCACATTTGCCTTTCAGGGCTATGGCTCTTTCTAAGTTTGATGGTGCATTCGTGTCTCTTGGATCCCTAAATTTTAACTTCGCGTATAAAATATGTGTGGAGAAATCAATTGATACATTGATCTGCATTATAGATTTGTTGCTTGTCATCACTCATCAGCTACATATATCTATAGTCTTAAGGGGATACATTTCTGAATCATTTAATGAAGCTTGAGTTACGAATTTTACATGAATCCAATCGTAAGTGAGATTTCTGATGAAGTGGGCTAAGAAAAAGAGAAAACATCTCCTTTATAATTATTATTTAGCTTAACATTTATAATTTTAAAAAATGCCCACTTGAAACTCAACAATGAAATCAAGTTGGAATTTTTATAACAACTCTTTAGACAAGTGTCGTGTGATACAAGCGTGCTACTTACTCGTAAATCACACCTTATTTCTTAGTAGTCTGTACAACAGATTCTCAAAAGTAACAATTGTTAATATTTTATGCTGTATGAATGAACAAAAACACTCAAACAGTAAGCAAAGATTAAGTTGACTGCTTAGAAAAATACTTCAAATATTATGTATAGGAGAAAAGAAGCTTCACATTTAATGACAGTAAGATAATTTCAGATCCTAATATATACTACTAAATTTGGGTGGTTTGAAGTGGTTCAGCTGTCTGAGCTTTCTTAAACCAGGTACTCTGCTGCTGAGCTGCTGAGCTTCGGCCATTTGGCCGAAACGGCCGTCTAGTGTTTAGATGACTTCTGTTTAGCCAGCAAACACTACTACTAGTTGATATGAGTGCTGTATAACTACTCATCTCAATCAATCAGCAGTTTAAAGCACCACGTACGTATCTGTGGTTAATTTCTTGATTTCTGTTTTTGGTATCCAACAGATGACATATTGCTTTTTGAATAATGTGGGTTTCCCAAGGAAGTAAACTGTGGTGAAATTTCACATCCTCCCCCCCACCCAAACTGTGTAAATTGCGAATCACAAGTTATTCTCCCCGAATTGGGAATTTGATAAAATCTTACTGACTTTTGAATTTTAAATAGTTACTTTATTTCACCTCGTTCTGATAAATAATTTGAATAAAGTTTTTCCATTAAGAATAAAATTTTCATCATTATTATTGATAGGGAGTTGCATTTGAAATTCTGATTAGTACTATAATAGGTGAGAAGTCTGAAGTAAGACTGTGATGTTGATATACCGACGGCAATAATGCGACCATTGAAGCTAAGGATTATATTATTATCGTTCCCTTGGGTTCCAAGTGGAACATACAGCTTCGACAGCACATCCCCATTTTATCCCGTTCTATGCAGTCGTTTTTGACGGGCTTCTAAAATACCCATAAGCATTCATCTCTACAGCGATCTCCTCCATTTCACACTCAGACTTATGCCCTTCTCATCGTCTCCTGTTCCGGTTCCACTCGAGGTTCTGTCTGTCATTTCGATGTCCCTCAATAGTCTCCTCAGCGCACTTTAATCCATCCGCATCTCCTTCGCGATATTTGTTGGACGATAAGTCCCCGTTTGGTTCGATGCCGGAGTTCCTTGTCGCTTATCTTTTTTGACTGGGCATCTGATTCTCAGTATGGAGCGAAGGGTGCAGCTGCTGATGAAAGTCTACAGACGTTGCGAATTCTTTCTATGAAAAATGGTACTGCTCTAATTAGTAGTCACTTTGACTGGATCAATAAAGGCTGCAAAATAAATTCTTCCTAGTGGAGTCATGGGTGCGTACTGTAGGACAATCTCAAACAAGGATGGAACAGGTGTCCAGTGCTCTCTGGTTTTCGATGGTTCCGCACCTGAGGTCAGTTCGCGATCACTCTTCAAACCAACCAGATCTACTTAAACTAACACTTGGAAATTATTCTAATGCCCATAAATGACTAACAACGACACCAATTCGGCTGGAATTACTGTGGGAAATCTTTAACAGCGGTGTCCACCAGATCTGATGTGAGGACAAATACTCACCGGTGATACTGGCTGCTTGTGATTCTATGTATCACGGAATGGTAGAAGTTAGAATTAACAGACTGGCTATTGGATTCTGTCCCAGTGGTTAAAGGGCCAATGAGTTCGCCCAGTGATCTGATGGTTATGGGCTAGTACTATGACACAAAAATAAGGCTACTTTTGAGTACCTTATGGTGATTTTCAATGGTTCTTTAACTGGTGTCAGTTCGTGATCGAACTTCTAACTAATCAAATCCCCACAAACCAACATTTGATAACATTATAAATAGATAAAATCTCAAGGGATAATGTTGTCTTCATTAGAAGAACTATGGTACTATTGAAAACTAT